GAGTACATCACAATCTTCACAGCTATCACACTCAATATCAGCTGCCTCTACGTGATTCTTATGCAATGGCATCATCCTTTAATCCGACATCCGGTTTCATCTGCTAGGCGCTGCCTCTGTTGCGCACTCTTCACCTTAATGCCGGCTGGAGCGTGACAGGTTCCAATCGGTCCTAGCTTACCTTCGTATTGAAGGAGACGAAGAGATGCTTATATATAAGCAGTCACATTTTGTGTAGCTGGCTATAATACCCCAAACAAGTTTGACGCATTACACCGCAAGCTTCCCTGTTCTTTTGGAGCATGTACTGCCATCTTAAACCCAGCCCTGAGCACTAAATCGAAAACGCAGTCTGCTGGGTTATATCGCCACCTCGTAAATCGTAATTTCATGTCCGGTGTAAGCATCCGAGAGAAGCCGGCCAGCCGATAGGCATACGCATATGCGCATGTCTTCACCTTTTTGTGTACAAATTAAAGATGCCCTGCTTTTCTGTCCAAAGGCCAAGGAGCGACATGGAAATCGACTTGATTCACCACAAGACCAGGTCTGTTTTCATCGCATCACCGTCTTCGTTAAGCATCTCTTCCTCATACTATGCCTCATCTTATCTTCACTGCCCTCAAATAGTTCCTCATTTGCGTCAAAGTGGAGCTTGGAAGTTTGCCAGATGCATTTTAGCCGAATAGACAAATTTGTTGTGGCCATTCGCTGTACCAAGACTCTACAATTTCTACCCATCACCAACCTAAATTTGTACGTTCGCTCGTAGTGCTTGCCTATGGCCAACATAACCATAATTCTTCTATCTCGGCAACTGTATTCGTGGCAATCTAGGATTCCTTCATATGGCTAACCCCTAACCCACGCTATGGCCTCACGGAACAGTTATGCTTGCGTCAATATCCATCGCTGGGAATCAGCTATAACATTTTTGTCGCTTTATCCGAATCTTTTCACTTCTATTTTCGGCTAAAGGTGTTGCCGAGATGTAGGCGAAACCGAAAATATAAGTGGGTTGACCTCGTCGCAACTTGTTCTTGTTTTCAGAGACTAGAAGAACGCACCTTGTCCTAATTCTTCTGCCATAGTAGCTATAATAATTGCCAGGATCAGAGCATGGACTTGGTGCATTCTCAGACGTTTCGCCAGCATCGCGGATAATGAAAACACTAATTGATGATGCCGGCCAAACGTCTGAGAATGTATCAAGTCCACGGTCTGATCCTGGCAATTATGATAACTTACATGGCAAGAGACTTCGGACGAGGTGCGTTCTACTAAGTCGCCTTGACAACAAGACAAAGTTGTGATAAAGAGGTC